GCATTTGCATTAATTATGCTTATGTAAACCAAAACGTGGGAATAAAGCCTTTACAATAATTTTGGTTACGATCTAAAGTTTTATGGCCTTATTATTTAGCTACGTAAGCATTTAGTTTGTATAAAAACGTAATCATTAATTCAATAAAGTTCACTTGAATGCAATCAAGCAAACAACAGTGTTCGAACTTGGCGTAATCGCTACTATTCTGAACATTCTGATGACCCCTGTGAAAGGACATTCAGCTTAGACAAGGCCAGTGCAGCAGTTTAAGGAGCCACAAAACTAAACTAAAAGAAGAAAAATTGATCGTTTCGAGGATTTGGCCAGACAACAAAAAGAAACGGGCGGCAATATTGAAGCAATTGTCCGAAACTTTAAAAAGGACCCGCAATCCAGGAAGCAGTCAGTCAGCTATTACGAAGAGCGATTGAGAAGACTGGACAGCGAGTGGTCGAAGTTTGAAACAACTGACAACAAACTTCGTGTGCTTGAAAGCCCCCAGCTGGATCACGACTACTGCTAACAATATAATGGACTACTATAACAATATAATGGAAATTGTAAATCAGTACAAGGAGATTTTCGAGTCCGCAGTGCTCCAATTGGCTCAAACCCCGGCGAGAGAATTGCGCTTAACAACTGATGAAGGAAATACGTACCAACATGATGCTTCAGCTTCAAAAGTCAACACGGAAGCACGGCATGATACTGGAACCAAACAGGCAGCTTCCAACGAGTACACTAAACTAGTTCGCAGACAAGGGGTAATGATGGCCTCGGTGCGACGGTTACTGAACGACAACGTTTCATCACAATGTGTTCCAATAATTCCAATAATAAGCTGTGGGAAAATATAGAAGACATTCACTTCAGGATATATGAGATGTTCGACAACCCAACCGAGCAGGGCTACAAGGTCGATAACTTCATTTCACTTGAAGAAAAGGTATGGAGTACTTTGCAAGCAGCTAATAGTGACTCCCATACTGAGCAAACTTCAAACCAACTTCCGATTAAACTGCTATCAATTTCATTGCCGAAGAATTGCAAAATTCGATGGCACCTATTTAAAATGGCAAGAATTTCATGACCTATTCTCGCAACTGGTAATAAATCAACCTCTTTCAAAAGTGCAGAAAATGTGGTACTTGAAAACTCACTTAGTGGGGGAGGCTGGAAATCTAATTAAACATTTCGCATCAACAGGAGAGAATTTTGATGCAGCTTGGTTCATGCTTCTGGAGCGTTACAACAACAAACGCTTGCTGGTGAGCAAGTTAGTAAATGAGCTAACTACTACACCTGGAAGCACATAAATGGACAATGTTAAAAAGCTGCATGACACAACACAAGAATGTCTATTAGCATTGCAAAATTTGCAGATAGACACATCAACATGGGATCCACTTCTGCTCCCCCTTCTACTAAAGAAACTGGATCAACCGACTCCTTTGCGGTACGAACAATCATTATCAAAGCCACGGGAGGTACAAACACTCAAGGAATTCCTGCAATTTCTGGAGAAACACTTTCAATTCATGGAAGCGATCAAAGACAAATCTACAAGCTCAACTGCAAAGGTGTGCACTTCAGTCACATCCAAAGGTCATAAAAATGACACTTGCAGCATGTGCAAAAAAGGAAAATATCCATTATTTTCTTGCAAGGAATTTTTACAACAGTCTCCATCGGCATGCTTTCAGTTCATACAAGGGCAGAAATATTGCCACAATTGCCTAAAACCGGGACATGATTCTAAAAATTTTATATTAAGAAACTGTCTGAAATGCAACAAAAAACACAACACACTGTTACATTTCGAGGATTCAAAAAGCCTCGTATTGGAGTAGCTACTGATGTAATGTCTTTGCTACATCAGTAGCTACTCCAATACGAGGCAACGGATCGCAAAGTACTACTCCATCCAGGACCAAATCAACACCATCAAAAGACGAAGTAGCGTCACTTACCACCGTAAAGCACACAAAGTCAAACACATATGTACTACTCAGCACTGCCATGGTGAAAGTTAGAGGAATCGGAACAGAAGTGCAGTGCCGGGTAATTCTCGATTCAGGCTCACAAGTTAATCTTGTGACTGAACGATTGGTTAAACGTCTTGGCATCTCAACTAAACCATCATCAATCTCCATTAGTGGCATAGGGTCGCAGAGCACTAAGATACAACATCGAGTCAATGTGGCGCTACAGTCTCGGATCAACAACTTTACAATGCGGCTAGAGGCAGCGGTATTGCCTCAGATTATATCCCCGCAGCCTTCGCAAAAAATCAAGATCGACGAATGCCAAATACCTGAGAACATCATGTTGGATCGGCTAACATCATTCAATCATCCTGACAAAATTGATATATTGTTGGGGGCGGAATTCTACAACCAACTGATGGCAGCAGGGCAAATCAAACTGTCAGATGACCTACCCATTCTGCAAAATACAGTGCTGGGATGGATCATCGCGGGAAAAGTTGGTGGCAACTACATCTCAAATGCAATATGTGGAATCTGTACCAACGATGACATCAACTTAGATGCAGCCATTGCTCGATTATGGGAACTTGAGAATGTTGCAACTGTAAGAAAACAACATTCCGTAGCAGAAAAACAGTGCGAAGCTAATTTCGCACAACATACACTCATCAATGAAAATGGGAGATTCATGGTAAGGCTAACATTTCTTGAAAATCCGGAGGCCTTAGGGGAGTCCTATGGGATGGCGTATAATCGATTCCTGGCCTTAGAACGTCGACTGGCAAAATCGCTCCGGACAACGATTCAATATCAATATGTACAATTTATGGAGGAATATGAGAACTTGAGGCAGATGACGCAAGTGGATATTGATTCCATCAGTAAACCTAGGTACTTCATTCCTCACCATTGCATTGTGAGACCCGAAAGCCGCACTACAAAATTACGTGTGGTGTTCGACGCATCAGCAAAATCGTCCACTGGCATGTCTTTGAACGACCTCATGTATACCGGACCCACTGTTCAGAGCGAGCTTTTCACCATTTTACTTCGCTTCCGTTAGCCCAGGTTAGTCTTCACCACAGATGTAGAAAAAATGTATCGACAGATGCTCATTCAACCGGACGAGCGTAAATTCCAACTTATCATCTGGCGAAACGATTCAAGCCTACCAATAAAGCATTATCAGCTAAATACAATCACATATGGGACAAGATCTGCTCCATATTTAGCCACCAAATGTTTGCAGAAAATTGCAAAAGCAAATGCATTACAATATCCTCTTGGTGCTGAGTTTCTACAGGACAATTTTTATGTAGATGACGGAATTGGTGGGTCAGACAGCTTAACCACGACGATGGAAATCCAACAGCAACTGATACACATTTTAAAACAACGTGGTCTTAACCTAAGAAAATGGTGCGCCAATCACTCACAATTACTGCAAAATGTTGGCATGGAGGAACAAGAAGTTGACGTAGACTTTGACAATGACATCAATCAAACTATTAAAATGTTGGGGTTAACATGGATGCCTAAGATGGATCGATTCTGCGTAAAGGTCTGCCTAGAAAGCTGCAGTCTTGCAACTAAACGCTCAGTCAGCGCCGATCTTGCAAGGCTTTTCGATCCGTTGGGGATACGAGCACCCATTGTAGTCATGGCAAAAATGTTTATTCAAGATCTCTGGCAACTGAAACTGACATGGGATGAAGCATTACCAGCCGATTTGAATGAGAGATGGACAACAGTCCCAAATGATTTGCAAAACTTGGACAACATGCAAGTTGCACTGCACGTGTTTGAACGATACATCCCAGCAAAAATTCACATTCATGTCTTCTCCGACGCATCAGAAAAGGCATATGGTGCTGCAATTTACATTATATCCGAGCTGGATGAGGGACGAGTACAAGTGAGGCTGCTCTGTGAAAAATATCGTGTGGCACCCTGAAACGGCAAACTATTCCTCCGCTTGAGTTCTGTGCATCAGTACTGGGTGCTCAACTAACTACAAGGGTCAAATCAGACCTTAAGCTAGACGATGTGGCTACATACTTTTGGACTGATTCACAAATCGTGTTGGCATGGATTAACTCATCCTCAGCATCATACCAAACATTTTTGGCAAACCGTATAGCTGTTATTCATGAGCACACTACCGCTGAACAATGGCGGCATATAAGTTCAAAAGACAACCCAGCTGATATTCTATCACGAGGACTGCCGACGGGGAGACTAGAAACCTGCAATATGTGGTTTTATGGGCCAACAATCTTGCTTGGTAAAGAAGACACTTGGCCTTCAAAGTATTCCATGGCATTATCAGTAATCGACGAAGGTATCAACATGGAACGGAAAATGGTGACATCAGTCGCTGTTGCAACCACTGGACATGAAGGAAGCGTACTTATAGCATTCGACACAATGGCTCTTTCAAACCATTACAAAGAGTGACAGGCTACATGCTGAGATTTATCAACCAGGCCAGAAACCAACCGCGGCAGTCAGACATTCCCTTGACTGTACACGAATTGGAAAAAGCGCTTGTGGTAATCGTTCGTACAATGCAGCCATTGGACTGTGAGGAAGAGCTTCAGCACCTCAAAAAAATACAACGAAGTTCGCAAAAACAGTTCTTTCCGCAGCCTGTCACCGTTTCTGGACAATAATGGCATAATCCGAGTAGGGGGGCGTCTACAAGCATCAGAACTTGCATACGATGCCAAACACCCTATGCTAATTCCACATAACAATTCATATAACACAATTCAAGTTATTAGAACTAATGATCCATAAAGAAAACCGTCATTGTGGACCTCTAGCGCCCTTAGCTTACACAAGGCAAAGATTTTGGCCTATTAAGGGAAAATTGCTGACACGATCAATTGTACTAAACTGTGTAAGATGCACCAAAGCTAAGCCAAAACTAATGAGTCAAATTATGGGGAACTTGCCTTCAACAAGAGTAACTCCAGCAAGACCATTCATCAACTCAGGCGTGGAATTCTGCCATTTTGGGTTCACTTCAAGATAAGGGGAAAGAAACCACAAAAGGCCTATGTAGCGGTATTTTGCTGTTTTGCCACAAAGGCAGTACATTTGGAATTAGTCAGCGACTTAACGATGGATGCATTTAGTGGTGCCTTAAAACGATTTATAAGCCGAAGAGGGCATTGTCAAAATTTATATTGTGACAACGCAACCAATTTTGTAGGCGCGAAAAAGCACCTTTCTGAACTTACTGACGTTGTCTATGGAAATTCATCACGAGAATCAATAGTAAAGCAGTGCAGCGGAAAGGGAATAACATTTCATTTTATACCCCCTAGGACTCCACATTTTAGCGGTTTATGGGAAGCAGCGGTAAAATCAGCTAAGCATCTACTAATAAGAAGCACCTCGACAGCATCCTTAACGAATGAAGAATGGGACACGGTAATCATCGAGGTGGAAGGAATCCTAAATTCCAGACCAATCAGCCCAATGTCCGACAATCCTAACGATCTAACAGCTTTAACTCCAGGCCACTTCCTCATAGGAGAACCCCTGAATGCCCAAGTTGATCCAACATGTAGGCCACCGCAAACAAATTTATTAACAAGATGGAAACCTGTTTCTCACCTCAAACGCGAGTTTTGGAATCGCGTGGTCCCGCGAATATTTATCTGACCTTCAGCTGCGAAATAAATGGAAGACACAACACCACAATATCAACGTAGGTGACATGGTGATCATCAAAGAAGACAACACACCGGTATTGCAGTGGCATCACTGAGGAAGAATCATCAATGTATATGAAGGAAACGACGGTGTAGTGAGAGTGGCTGATGTATAAACTGCTAGTGGCACTTGCAAGAGGCCTATTCACCGACCTGCACCCATGCCCAAGAAAACAAATGATACCACAGAACGACAATCAACCAACAAATTACTTGAGGAAGACAAAATTCCATCAAGGAGGAATAATCCTTCCATACACCAAGGACTTGCTACACTTTTGATTGCCCTACTCATCTTACCATTGGATTTAGGAGCTGAACTTCAAAATAAGCGATTTGGATCAAGGCTTGACATTCATTTTGAAGGAATAGGCTCAACAGCCATATCAACCACCGATTGTAACCTAATAATCTACTATGACATGGAAGGATTTATGGTAGAACTAGCACCGCTGTCAAATGGCACAAGGGCCCTTCGCCATTTATGTCAAGAAATCACACAAAAAAGCTCATGTCTTTCTCTGGTAGCACATCTTGAACAGACTCAAAAAGAGTTGCAGCTAGACTACGCAATAGTAAAATCTAATCGGCGTAAACGAGGTGCCATTGATTCAGTTGGAAATATCGCTCATTCTTTGTTTAGAGTACTGGACGCAGAATATGCAGAACAAATGTCCAAAACAATCACACACGTTAAGGAAAATGAACTACATCTGCTGCGCCTGATCAGAAATCAAACATCCATTGTGGGCTCAACCATCAACATTTTGAAGCAGGATCAAAAAGCGGTCAAGAGGAAGTTCGACATCATTGATCAACAAGTCAGTCAAATATTCCAGAGGATCAGCAACGGCACGCATGAGATATACCAAGAAAAATTGTTTCGAATCTTTTTCTCGTTATCCATTCAACTCACACTTATGGCAGGCAATTTGCAAAGAATGCAATCTGCAATATTAGCCGTTCTAATAGATACTAATCAAGGAAAAATAAGTCCTCTTCTGCTGACGCCCAGCCAATTGCAAGACGAAGTAAAAAAAATTAAACTTCACTTATCAGCACCATTGGAACTGCTTGTAAACCAAGAAGATTTACTCCAGCTATATCAACTCATGACGGTTAAGGGAGGACTTACAGAAAAGCATGTTGTATTCACCATCACATTGCCTCTGGTAGAGCATGATCGATACGACTTATTCAATCTGCTACCAATTCCTACTTGGACTAATGGGACTATGATTGAAATAAGTCCGTGTGCTGCAGTTTTGGCAATAAACACAGCTCTCGGTCAATATTTCCCTCTGAGCATCTCCAAATTTCAATCTTGTGTGGATATTAAAAATGGAAATTACATCTGTTCTAGAATTCAAATTCGTTATAGTCACGGTTCATCTATATGCGCATGTGAAGTAAATTTATTCAACAACAAAACCCAGTCAAGTTGTCAACTGCGGAAAACACCAAACGATGTTGCATGGATATCACTACAGCATAAAAATCAATGGATTTATGCCACGTCAGTTTCATCTCGTGCGACAGCAGTATGTGGAAAAGAAATCATTCAGGTGATTCTAAAATGATCAGGACTGTTATCACTCCAACCAGACTGCATACTCAAACATAATTTTATATCAGTTCAAGCACGTCAGTCTCGTCCTACACTAGCCTGGGAGAAATTTCCGAAGTAGCTGCAGCAGAACATATAAAGCCTCTTCTTCAATCACGGGATGATGAGAAATATATAACACAAATACAAAACCTCACGTCCTTACAATCATCATTGGCCAATCAACGCATATTAGAACTCCCAAACAAACTTGAAGCACAAAATGCGCACCACATAACAGTTGGATACACTGCCTTGGTTACAGTTTTGTGCCTCTTAGTGTTCATGCTAGTCAAAAGAAAATTTAAAACAGCCAAACAGGAAACATTGCACGCATCCACGACTGTGACCACATCCGGTCAAAATGAAAAACCCACACCTGCGCCTCGACATTCTCAAGGAAGTTTGGACTTTACGATAAACATTTAGGACAGAACCTGCCAAGGAATTCGAGCTGCGCTCACCGGGGGGAGGATGTAATTTAATAAGAAAAGTCGACGTATTAATATTGCATTAGCTTTACTCAACAGGGTATTAATTTTCGCTTGCATTCTTTTATGCGTAGCTTGCACTTTATGCCTTTTAGTGTATTCTTATCGCCAAATAATTTGGCATGTGTCAATTTACATATAAGA